ACAGTGTGATGTCTATTAACACAGTTGTGTAAGCAGGGGTAGTCAACAGTTTCTTTGGATGTGTAGTAGTTATGTTATTATATTGACTTATTCCAAGTAAGATAAGTAAACTCTTGGGCTTACTGGGATGTCTCTTGTTGTATTTACATGTTATTGGCTAATGAAGAAAGAATAATCAGATTTATCCTTCACTATGATTGACGTACAAGTAAGATTGACCTAGTCTACATGAACTGAATATTGCTCTTCAACCCAACAATTTGAACAAAACTATTTTATCACACTTCAAACAATGGTACAGATATTAGCTGCAATTATATGAGATTATAAAGCCTTCTGTGCAAGTGTAGTATTACATTTTGAATGTTCATTATATCATATAAAGCTATCACAAGCATGATAATTGATGAGAAGCAAGCAAAAGAAAAGAATTATCCAGTTAATCTACTGGCCGCAAAACTGCTTAGTCATGACTTACCATTAATGGAAATAGGTTGAAATGACTGAATGTTATTTGTAGACCATGAATATGTATTTTAACATACTTGAAACAGGGTGGATTAGCTTGAACTAACAAATGGATGGATAAATTGCCTCAAATCACAAACAAGGACATACAAATGACATTTGCAGCCTGCAAAAAGTGCTTGTCTGTGGGCTTTGAACGTTATCGGGCGCTTATTACATAAGCAAGGCCCGCACAAAGATTATATTTTGTTTATACTGGGGATTGAACCCAGGACCTTGGTGGCAAAAGTCATAAAAATAATAAGTAGTCACTATACCATTGAGATAATACTTTTTTTGCTCAGTAAATCATGTTACCCTTTACCCTCACTGCATCTTAACCTTCTTCAACATCAACATTTACCTCTAGTGTGCCTTCTGCCTTTGTAATTATAGCAAAATACATATAATCTTCATTAGTTCTTTATTTTTCTGTTTCAATTGACAACACTTACAGATATATATATGCTTTTATACTTTCATGAAATGTATTTGACCTTAGTTTTCATTAGTTAAGGTACTCAAGCTTGCTAAATGCAAACACTAATGCTACAAACAAACAAAGGTAATTTTTGCAATAAGACAACAGCTTATACTTCACATGCACAACAGAAGTTTTTACACAAAATATCAATCAGCTGTTCATAATCTTAAATATTGCTATTTAAATTGTGAGAGTCAAAACAGCATTTGTATAGTTCACAGAATATAAGATTTGTATTGCATCTGGTGTTGATTTGGTAAAAGTACACAAAGCATGAATGACAAGTTAGGTATAAGCTGATGAGTAGCATGCCTGCATATATGATGAACCACAATTTTAGCAGAGTCAAGTGGGAAAAAATGATACCATATAAGGAACCAGTGTAGTGCATGTATGTGCTCACAATACAAATAAATTTGTATTTACAAGAAAATAACAGTAAATAAATTATTTGCATTGTATATACAATGTCCATATAATAGTCTTAATTGTTACATTGTTCCCCTGTGTCCTCTATTCCAGTATTAAAGTAGGGTTTTCTTGATCACAAACATGGATGTATAAGTATTGCTGTATTGGTGTGTTTATCTATTTAATATAAGCATGCAGCATTAAGGTGGCCTATAGAGCACATGGTGCTGGTGTGCCTATGTGAAGTGTTTCTGCTTTGGACCCTGTGTAGCAGGAGGTCTCCTGACATGGTGGTTGCACTATATCAGGAAACCTGGCATTATTGTGATTTAGGATCAAGCAATAAAGGACAAACAAAATACAAAAGCTGGGGGTATTCAACAAATCTTACTGAAGCAATGGTAAGCAAGGCTTAAACCTAAGGCTAGGGACAAATTAGTTAGTGGAAAACAGGATATATGTACAGGGGTTTACTGATCTAGAAATGGGAGGTCAAAACTGAGGTCTTTTGAGTAGCAAAGGCAGATTTATACACACACAAAGGGTTCAATGCTAACTGTGTGCACTGGTTTGCATGCAGCATTGCTGTGTTATAGCCACTGAGGTAGTAGCCCAGTGAGTCAGAGCTATGTAAGTAGTGCTCATGCTATTCACATAGCCATCTAACCTAATTGATTAAGATAGTATGACCTGTCATATCAAGTGCTACCTTACACAGCAAGTTCACAGGTTCAAACCAGGAAAAAAAAACAATAGTCTGTGGTGCCCATGTCACCTTATGACAAACATGCTGATGAAACTCATATTTACCTACTTAGTTGTCAGTTTGTACCTGTACAATACAATTGAAATATCAGTTGTTCCTGTTAGGAGGTAGACCACTAAACTTTTTCTTCATGTAGGGTTTACATTTGCTACTCAATGTGCCTGTAAACCAGGTATGTAACTCATCAGTGTGTGCAGTAACAACACTTACAAATATACTTATGTTTGCTACTCAACACACTCATGCACCAGACATGTGACACTTGGTTGTTGTGACATGCCCTTTTAGACTTTACACAGTAGGAAAGAAGACTATAAGGGCCTTTCTTATATAATGGTATAAGAATGCATGTGCCTTTTATTAAAAAATTGCTATTTTGAAAAGTTTGATGTTTAATGCATTCTGTAACTTCATGCTACAGAGGGTGGGTCTGCAGGGATCTCTCTTATATAATGGAAAATTCATGGAAGTATATATGATCACATATTTGAACAAGAAAATATCCTTGCAATCTCCAATTCAAACATTTACATACAATACACAAATACAATAGCAAACACAAAGTGCCTGCATATATACAAATAGGGTGTAAACCAGATGCAAAGCACCATTTGCACTCATAACATGTATGTCCTGTTGTGTATTAGATGTAAAGCACTCCTACAGTCCATATTATCTGACATATCAAATAAGGTGCAGAGCACCTTTTGGAATAAATACACCAGTCATAACTAAAAATATATTAGGTGCAAAGTGACTAATTGTGGCAACATCACAGGTCACTTAACTAGTATTTATAAAGCTAATATAAAAATTGTCCTGCCATGCAAAGCAATGGCCCACTCAAACCAAGTAGTAAATGGTGATGTGGGGGGTAAATTGATCAAAAGTGCTCATCATTCAGTATCATATAAAGTATATTGTTGCTTTGTATAAGGATGTACAATCAATCCTGATCCTTTATGTGATTTATAATTACTCATATATCTGCTCTGAAGTGATGAGTATATATCTCAGATTGTTAATTTTGCTTTCATATCTGGCTTGTGTGCTACCATAACCTACCATGCATCTCATTGTCCCCATATGAAGCAAGTTTGTGTCATCATTCACATCACATGTTTTCCATGTTGCTTTATATATTGGGACCTCTCCTGATTTTTCGAAATACACAACTTGAGTTATACTTCCACCACCATATCTCCTTCATTTCAATGGCTGCTGATCCAATGATGTTGACTCAACACAACACGGAAAGTGATTGGGGTGTGACTGAAATAGACAACATGACAAGTATTCAAGATATAACCAATGAAAACATCACAGATTCCAGTGGATCTGTCCTGGAAACTCCTTGGCCTCACAAAAGACCTCGGATCTCTATCACACCAGAGCCACAAGCAGCTCATGAGACTGATTTTCATGACATCCATCCCGCAAAAATACCTAAGACCAATGGACACAGTGTATGTACCTTCTTGTCTGTAAGCACTGACACCTCAAGCCTGTAGAGACTAGCTGAAAAGTCACTACCTGTAAAGCAAGGTCGCACTGCTACCAACCGGCAGGCACAGTGGGTGAGTTCCAGTCGTCAAATGGAAGAAACTTAATAATGGATGTCACAAAGAAATACCAATTGGACTAGCATTGCAAGGCAAGCCATCAACATGCTCATGGAGACATGGCCATTCAAGCTGGTGAGCAAGAAATCAAAATACAGTCACATAAACTCACTGTAGTACCAGCTCCCTGAGCCTCCAAACCAAGTGTCAACCCACAAGACCAAGCTGTGCAACTGGGGCCCTTACCACCAGCAATGGAACCCAACACAAGCACCTCTGCCACTACTAGTGGTGTTCCAGGAAGCAATGATGTTCCTGACAGCACTAGGACCTATATGTGCCTAGATGGTGATGGCACTGGACTTGAAGTTTACAATATGCATGACAATGGTACAACAGAAGTCAATGTACTTGCTAATGGGTGGTTTGGAGATGGCAATGACCACAATGTGCTGACAGAACAATAACATAAGCTTTCTCTATGATACAATGAAGAGGATGAACCTCAAATTCTAATAGACCAGGTGGTCCTCTCAATGCTGATGATCATCAAATTCTAGTTGATGCAGACTCCATGTGCAATGATAAAACTCATCATGAAGTGGATATACAAGCTACAAGTCAGGATGCAACCTTTTTTGACCCTATAAAGATCACTAACATTGTTCGATATGAGAGGGATCAGGTGATGCAAGAATAGTCTTTGAGGGGTCAAGAAACTGAGGTAAGATGCTATGTTTGCATTGCAAATATTGCAATTGATGTGCCTTGGTGCCAAAAGGATCTTACTCCTCTTACATGCCTCAACTTCAAGATATTCCATGAAGATATAGATGCCTTACTGGCATCTAAGCTGGAGGACATCTGTGGTGTTTTCAGCAAAGCTATAGATGCTATAGCAGACATCATGGGACCACCAGCACCCACAGAATAGTCACAGGACACAGACTTGCCTGGCTTTGATACAGATGATGAAAGCGACTCTAGAACTGTGAAGTGTCAGCAAAAGAAGAAGACAGCACCTAAGTGTTGAGGCAGCAAGCATAATACACTTACTGTATGTCTGACCTATTAACTTTCTATCATCACATTGATATAGATATGCATCTTGTTATACAGGCTGCTATAAGTGAGCACAGGCGTCATTTCATGGGGCGAGAGCACGGAAACACTTTCATAACAAATATGCTGACTACTGAGAAATAGCGAATTTCACTCCCACCCAAGGTCATGCATGCACTGTTGATAATTTCCATATAGATCTTGAAGGGTTTCCACAATCACCTTGGAACAAGTCTGCCACCACAGTGTTTGCCCAAGATTTTGTGGAAAAGTACAAAGGTATTGTTGTCACTGTTCATAATGTGCAGGATATTTGGCTTCGGCATGTTGAACATTTGCATGACCTCTATCACAAGCACCAGAGAAGTGCAGACGAGATTGCAAAGCAAAAGCAGTTGTTACGTCACAGGGGCTGTAGAGAAGCAGTAAGTTCAGCCAAAACTCATTGGACAATCACTGATGTGTAACAGCTATTTCAATGCAGGCTATATGTCACAAAGGAAGTCTTGCATGAATACAAGCCCCAGGCTGTCCTTCTCATCGAGAAGCTTGGTGTGGATGGCATAAGCTCAGATGAATCTGATCATCCTCCTGGACATGGTGAGTGTCACAACTTGAGATCAAGTGATAGGGAACAAACCAAAGGCTGGGGGTGTTTGACTGGGTTTTCACTGAAGCGATGGTGAGCAATGCTCAAACCTAAGGCTAGGTACAAGAAATGTATTAGTTAGTTTGAAGTAAGAAAAGAAATACAGGAGAGGCTTATTGACCTAGGAACAAGAGGTCAAAACTGAGGTTCCTAGGGCAGCAAAGACCGGCTTATATACAGAGGTAGATAAGGGCAGGCTGTGCACACTGGTCTGTGCACAACTGGTCCATGCGCAGCATAATGAGGGCACATTTGCAACATTGCGCACCAGTTCCCATGACATATGCAAGTCATCATAACCCTTCTACTTGACAAGGTACTGTAGCTAATGCTGGAAGATCCTCGAATCCTTGATCCGCTCAACCTTGTACTTCTTGTCACCCTCCACCTCAATGGCAGGCAGCTCCTCTGGCTCCCAGCCCAGGATTTCACTATGCATGTACTTGCTCAGCAAGGAGACATGGAACACCGGGTGCACAGGCACCAATTTTGGTAGAACCAGCTCATAATCTAAGTCTCCAAGTTTTTGCCGCATGGCATATGGTCCAAGGCACTTGGGACTGAGCTTCTTGCTTGGCTGTTTCAGCTTAAGGTTCTGAGCATCAAGCCAGACCTTGTCCCTTGGCGCAAAGACTGCCTCCTGCACATGCTTATTGTAGTATGTCTTCATCCACTCAGCTGATAGCTCAAGTGTGGAGTGCGCATCATTCCGAATCTCCTTCAGGATCTTCAGCCGATCTGCGGCCGTGGGCATCACAGACATCAGATTGATCCACACTTGGATCTTAGGGTAATACCCTTGATGCAGGAAGAAAGGGGAGTGCCCAGTTGCAGAGTGAACTTGGTTGTTCAGCGCAAACTTCACAAGTGGCAACTGCTTTGCCCAATCATCCTGTCTATGGCTTGTGAAAGCACACAGATACTGCTCAATCTCCTGATTCCAACACTTGGTCTGACTGTCTGTC